GATCAGTGTGCCTGCGGTTGCGTGTTCGTTTTGCGACGGCAGTTCGAGGAGCTCGTGCAGCCCGAGCTCGTGCATTGGCAGTCCTGATCACTGTTGACGCCTGTACGGGGCTACGGTTGCTGTAGTTGTAAACCGGCGCCGAGTCGTATCCAGGCATAGCTGGTGATGGATACGCACTCTCGTAGGAGTACATGTGTGTGCTAAGCCGATCGGGAGCTACTGTGAGTGGTGGATGCCCTGATAAGGACTGACCACCCATAGTAACTGGCACTTCTGTGCCAAACTGGATGCGAGCTGCTGGGTTCCATGCCGGGCCCTCTAACTTGATACTAGAGTAAGAGTCCGGCTCTGAGCCATCGTGCGAATAAGCAGCAGACATCGCGCGTTGACTGTACACGTCTGGGGATGTAGGAGGTGTGTCCTGGGCGGAACTCCACGGTACTGGCGAATGGGGGACTGGGTGATCGAAAGCTCCTGACAGATAGGGATCTGCAGTGGCCTCTGCCGAGGTGCCGTTGGGATACTGAGCGCTAACCCAGCCTTCCGATTGTGGGGGAGACGATGAAGGGAGAGTGTTCGGCATTGAAGGGTGGACTGGATATAAACCAAGACCATGTGGGTAGCTGGGCCGCGGCTCTTGTTGTCTTGGTGAAGGATAGGGTGACTCAAGCAGGGAGCCTGGTTGAGATGTGTGTTGTTGGTAAGGCGAGTTGAAAGGTGGCGTGGGCTGGTCCGCGTACGAGTACATGATGAAAGAATCTCAAAGGGATGAACGTAGTCCACAAGTCTTTGAAGTCAAGTAGGTTGGCGAGGAATGAAGACAGGCAAAGATAGAAATGATGTGGTAGAAGCTGGATGAGGATGCCAACTGCAGGGCGTTCCGGGACGAGTTATATCTGTACGATGCAGTGCGTGACTAACTCCAAGATGGAATTGATTTGTATACTGCGCCAGTGCGTTCTCGGAGCCTACGTTAAACAGTGGGCTCTTGAGTGTTAGGCAGATTCTGAAATTATGCTAGACAGGGCAGCATGAACAGAAAGCTCGAGCCGCCTACGCGGCAGGCGCCTGTTAGCTTCATGGGGCTATGAAAGAGTGGCAGGGGGGCGATGGATGCAGCTCGAGACCGGGGTATGTGCAAGTGAACCAGACAGCCGGGTAGCTAGGCCTTAGCGGGCCGAACACAGGCATCCTTGCGCCGACCGGACTTTGAGGCGCAAGAGGAGAGGGCGGTTGTACCCTTGCTCGATGTGCATCCCCATGAAACTGGCCAGTCTGGCAAAGGATGTCCCGTCTGTATCTGACGTTGATCGTTCATTCATGTGTCACCCCAATGCCGTTACCAAAGTGAGACACCAACACCTCAACTCCATACGCGCTTGTTTGAGTAGCTCTTGGGATAGACAGATAAGATCAACTTGAATTTTAACCGGATTTGCAGTGCTCATCCTTAGCAAAATGTACCTATATGTCCGCGGCTGCAAGCGCCGGCCATCAAGCGACCGATGTGCTCGCTTCGCGCTGCTGCTGGAGCTGCGACACCATCGCAGTAAGTTCTTCAACTTGCGTTGAAAGCTTAAGGACTAGTGCCTTCAATGGAGCATCGGTTTCTGTAGACCCTGCTCGTGCCTGGGGCTTCTGGGGCTTCCTCGCAAATGAGTTTGGTGCTTCCGCCATCAATAGGCGTGGAGAGTTGACCGGCAACCGAAGAGCCTTTTTTGGTGGGGTTGGTGTCTGCGGTCCGCTGAAAGATGTCGCTTTCACATCGAGATTACGGGTATCGGTCAGCTGCTCGTAAGCCCAGATTGCAAATACAAGAGGTAGATGCGTGGCCTTGAGCAAGACGATCCGGACGCTCCTGAGTCGCTCGGAGGGGATGACGAGCCGCAACGGTCGAATGACTAGCGGAATGAGATTCTGGAAGCCGGTCAGCCTTGCAAAGTTGAGCACGGCTGTGGATACCGCTGCGTTGTGGGTTCGCAGGGATTCACAGCGGCCTTGAGTCGAGAGAGCCTGAGCGCCAGAACAAGGCTTGTCAGTGACGTGACAACGGCAGAGCATCCGCCGACGATGCTTCCTTCACGAGCCGGCCACGAAGCTTTGACTGGTTGGTTCTGAGCGCGTCTTCCACGATAGCCATAGAGGCTGTGTCGATTGGGCGTTGAACGACCCGGCGCTTAATGCCCGCTTTTAACCTCCCCATAATAATAGCACTGAACAACATACTTACCAGTGGAGGCAGAAAGTATGTCAATCGATTTGAGCTGGATGCTTCGAGCACGTATACGGAATAGCTGCATCGTCAGTGCCTGAAGAAAGTTGCCTTGGATCATGCCGACGTACATGAACAAATATTCATCTCGCGCATGATCGAGAACCTGTCCACCGTCAATATCGATCCTTTGGAAAGTAATATAACCAGAGATGATAAGCTATAGCCGGTTGTTCATGGGGTCAGGGCAGTCAGTGCCTGCGAGAAATCTCCTGTTGCAGTCCCAATCGGGCTGTATCACACCCCCGTAAGACCAACCGGAAAAAGTCAAGTGCTAACCCCAATGCGAATGCACTCTGGGGAGACTGCAATGGAGATGAGGCGGTCCAGTCGGGCGTTAACCGTTGTTTTGCGCTTGGCATGCACAGACATGCATGCGATTTGAGGTTGCAAAGCAGTGAGGACCAATGGAAAAACCCATTACCTTACTCAACGAGTTGCTCAAAAGCGATATGAGGCTTGTAATCAACAAGATGTTTGTCAAAGTGACGAAAACAAGCTAGTGTGTGATCAGCAGACCGCGATGCGATGCATTCCAAATAGTCAGACTCGTACCATCACAGGAGGTCCGAAGAACGGCGAGCTATGCAGGCATTAGCAAGCCATTGGCACTGTTGATCGGAGGAGTGCATACATCTCTTCGGCGACATCTGCAGGCAGCTGTCGTCAGTACTGGTGGACAAGAATCGGTGTATGCCTTCGCTTGGCCGTTGCCTGAGGCTTGACTCACCGAAACCTAGGTAGCTAGAGCTGAGAAGGCATTAGCTGGTATAGCAACAGTGGCGTGATGTTAACCATTACCCGAAGAAGACCTTGATCAGGATCCAACTCTACGTTGCACGAGTCAGCAGTTGGCACGTCGGTGACCCCGATAGACAACTTGCCATCTGCTTCGCATTGAATCTACTATCTCTAGCCAGCAGTACGAAAGTAGTTAGAAACCCTTTATATCGGTGAGCATTGGCTGCAGCTACTAAAGCGTCGGACGCCTTACCCAGGTACAGGATGACTACCAGTGACAGGAATTTGATGAAATCCTTGGTCATTTCTTTGAGACACGGAATAAGGGTGCCAAAATATCGATTGAGACTCAAGAGAGAGAAGATACGCGGCACGAGGAAGAGAGCCTCTAGTCCGAGTACGTCATAGGCAAGATCGATGGTGATAGCGTTGGCTGTAGTCAGACCAACAATCCTCATAATGCAGAAGACAAAGCCCACGACGACGATACTGATGTCCCAGGTCCACCTAAAGACGTTAGCCTCCATCAAAATGGCGATGAGAAACGCATGCCTACCAAAAGTCCGAGGCATAGAACGAGCTTTGCCCTGCGTCTAACCAATCCGAAAATTCATCGTACGCGAAGCTGGCAATCCACACGTAGAGCAGTATCTCGGGAATGGTTACTCGGGCGTTGTTTCGCTGCACTAGAACTGCGTAGTACAGCCCTAAGAATGCCGCAAAAAAGAGTGTCTCGAAAATCTTCAAGTACAATGGAACGCGTAGCCGGGAGAAGGGATCGGCCTGCTTTCGGTTGTACTTTTTGGGCTTCTTCTCTGAGTGTAGACTGAGGGTCTCCCAGAATACGATGTCGCCTTTCCACAAGCCATTTATGATCTTCTGGACTGGTCTCTGGGACAGGAACTTCTTCGCACCAGATACAGTCGCAAGCTCCAATGCACTGAGATTCTCGCATTGTGACATCAGCGATCCGAAGCGAGATCTGGGAGAGTCGCCGTGGCCGAAGTAATCGGTGTTGGATACGGGAAGCAAAGGCGACCGCTCGTCGGCATGTGTGGTGTCGCGTTCGTTCTCGCCCGAGTAGTAGCCGTTCGGTGGGTTGGAGGTGGTCGGCGTCGTTGCCGGCGGGAGTTCTACTAGCAGAGACTCGATGATGTCGGCTTCTTTCAGGTTCGTCAAGAATTGCCAGGCTACGAATTCGCATGCGTAGCCTCGCGCTTCGTTCACACCAGGCTCGTCGCTGGTTTCCTCCAAGGCAGAGAAATGTCCCTTCAGGGCCCTTCAATATGGTCAGCGCTCTCCACTCCGGCATGCAACCATCTGGTATTGATAAAAGCGACCTGGGTTGCCTCGACGTACAGTAGAGCGGATACGAGGGCAGGGTGGTCGACTTGGGTAGACAGGTATGCGATGAGAGGCTGGACTGCCCGGCCCTCCTGCGATCGACGCAAATCTTCGAAGGTATGTGGCAGCTTGATCTTATGCTCAAAGAACCTACTCTCGGGTTAGGCTACTGGTCAATTGCGCATTCACATGCATCGACTGACTGGCACAGTTTGTCTACCAGATCTCCGAAGCACTCGTCGCCGGCTATCTCTGGCACGCCCGTTTCGTCTGCAGGCCATCTCGGTGTGGACGGTATCGACATGGTGGGTTCTTATGATAGCTTGCGATTGCCCTCTGCCACTTCCTCCAGTCTTCGCAACATTGAAAGATTCGCGACGCGTTAGGCGCATGGACCTCGGGACCCGCGTCATCATGGCTCTCTTGGCAGCCACCATCTGTCTCCGCGACTGCAACCCTCGACTTCGCTGCAGCATACAGCATGCTCTGAAGCTGTCGTGTACACGACATGCGACTTTATTCACACAGCCTTTCGCTCGCACTAACTCACATGTGAACCGCCGTCTCAGGCAACATGACGCACGATGCTAATTTCGTCGGCAATCGTCTACGGCTGAGCGCCTTTCTTTCATGTGTGGGAGGGATGCCAGACCGTCCGTCGCGTTTTAAACCGCCTATACAAGATCTGGACGTGGTAGACTCCGCTGCCCCGTTCTCCAGATTACATCGCGACGTGTCAGTCAAGGAACCGGCCAGGGAGCCAGCAATCTTGCCCTCAGGATCATCTGCCGAGGCAGAAGTCATCGGAACCAACTTGTGTGAGGAAGCTGCAGCTACCGACAAGCCGCTGGATACCAACATCGAAGAAGATCGATCTGTCTTGGTTGGTCTCGCGAATGCGCCATCTGTTTACGAGATCCCACGTTCATCACCACCAGACCTCCGTCTAGCCTCTGTTAGCGGCGGCACACAAGGACTTCGCAACGGGCTTTCGAGCACTCGGAAACGGCGTCTACCAGTACATGAGCTCGCTTTGCTGCGGACTACTACACTGGATGGACTACCCCTACCGGGTGTAAGGAGCTTCTACGGGTTTCATCGTCGGTAGCTTGCGGCCAGCTAACGCTGTTGACTTTAGGATGTTACTCTCGACGTTGCTGCTCCCATTGCGGTCGTGGACCCTATCGAAGATAGCCAAATACGTCTTACAAATACGTTGCACATCTCCGTATGTCAACGATAGTCAACGCTGACACTGCTGACCTTCACGCAGACTTCAGGCGGCGTCATCATCACGAAGAGTAGGCTGATACCGAAGACAACACAACCGCCAGATTCCGTCGGCCGTCCCAAGACCGAACCAATGGCAATGCGCACAGAGCCCCTGGAGAGACCCACGCAACTACCTGCTAACATGCAGCGATATTGTCCAAACCTTCGAGATGCTTTTGACGGGTTTGTCGGTTCCGAGCTAAAGCTCGTTCCCAAGAAAAGTGTCAACCGCCAAAGGATCGCCAATCCGACCAAGAGACAGAAGCCCGGTATCAAGCGCGAACTAGTTCTACGAGCTGGGTCACCACCTTTATCGGCGGGTTGGGCTACGACTACCGCAAATGCTTTAGTTGTCGGCAAAACACCTATGATCGTTGGTGCGAACACTTCGTCAAGACTTGAAAACGCCCAAACTCACGTAGGACTCGGACAACTGACATTGACGAGATGCCAGAACGTTCTACAGGCTGGCACAGATGATCGACATGCCCCTGAACTGGGCGATGAGACACTATACGAGGAAGCTCACGAAGAAGATCGTGACAACGATGTTACTGCTGAGACTGGTCACTACCAGTCCAACCGAGTACCCACATCTTGAGACAAGATCAGCCGATTTTGATGTTCAACACACCTGGACGGTCAAAGCGAGACGGAGAGTGATGGCAAGATTGCCAGCCCTTATTAACGACGTTGACGATTCATATTACTCAGATTAAGACGGCGGGGGACCCTGGAGATCAGCAATGGGGTTGGACAGTATAGAGTGATATGTACTGGGACAGCGAGCGCCTCCTGGGTATTCGGTAGACTCGGCTCTTGCATGCCTGACAGCGTTCGATGACAGACGTCAGGCCTCCGAACCTGCGAAGACTTCAAATTGCGAGCCGGGGAACGATGTGGAATAGACCACCAGAGGCAGTGTCAGCTAAAGCATACAGTCCAGGTATTCGTGGGGCTCCTTGAAACGCCTCGGTTCCTAAGTCGTAGCAATGTTCATGAATGCGGACTATGGTCCACGGCATACGTTCGCAGTCTCGGTGAATACCTGAGCAAGAGATGGACAGGATGAATGAAATAAATTTTAAGTCGCAAGCCGTTTGGTCCGTCGCAACATTGGCCTGATCGGGCTGTTTTGCAGCTGAGGTGTGACGTCGCTTTATTCGAGCATGTAAGCCAGCTACCGACGTCTGTGTGAGATCGATGACTTTGGCACTGCAGATTGGGGTCATCGAACATTGACATTCGATGTACAGGGCTCCCGTGGTCAGAACGTGGTATTAGTTCTTGACGTTGTTCTAGCGGCAGTCCCGAAATAGCGATCGGTGTCTCGGTTTCGCGATTCAGACACTAACATCAAACACCACACTACTGTTTGGACGCATGGACAAAACATAGCACAAGTGTTCTGCAGGCGTGTTGACACAAGTGGAGTGATGATTTAAATGGTGCGGCGCAACATATATGGTGGGCTTGCGCCTCGCTGCGCGAAGCTCCCCGTATCGCTTCGACGTCCTGGTACTCCGACTATTGACTAGTCTCGACTCTCATCTCCAACGCATCGCCTATCGCCGGCGCAAACTAGGTCCGAAAAGTCGAATAAACACAAGTAGCGATACCATGGCATCACAAGGCGGCATGCCACCTTCCGTGGTAAGTATACCCCACCCACAGGCTTATCTGATGGGTCTGGAACTTGGAGAGAGACAAAGTCGCTGACGTTGAAAAGGCATCACAAGCGCCACCATATGCTCCTATGGTATGGCCTCTGGGTGGTCCTCCAGTGAAACGCGTCGATATTCCTGCCCAAACTGTCTTCATGTTCTTCTTCATGGTCGGAGCAGCAGTACACATGAAGATATTCCAAAAGAACAGAGCACGAGGTCACAAGTTCTTACCAAACCTCTTCATCTTCCGTATGTATAGCCACATTCTGGATGAAATGGATGCTGACTATTCCGAAGTCTTCTGCATGGAACGCATATTGACATCAATCTTGCGACTCGCATCGGTCTCTAATCCAACCAACATTCCACTTGGGATTGCTGCACAGATCTTCATCGCAGCAGGTGTTCTTATACTATTCGTCATCAATCTCGTTTTCGCGATGCGCCTAGTAAGGTCGACACATCCGTCGGTGGGTTGGCATCCTGCGTTTGGCATCGTGTTCAAAGCTCTTTACGCGTTGATCGGCTTGACACTTATCGCTGTCATTACAGCTACAGTTCAGAGCTTTTATACTCCCAACGCAGGAACTCGAGCGACGGACCGCGGCTTCCAGCAGTACGGCGCAACCTTCCTGGCCATCGTCGCTACACTACCTTTGCCGATGACGGTGCTCACGCTTCTCATTCCCTATTCGCCGCTCGATCATTTCGGTATGGGCCGTCTTCGTACAAAAGTCATAGTCCTGATGATTAGCACCACACTCCTCTCTATTGGCGCATGGTATCGCTGTGGTGTTGCTTTCCAGACACCAGTCCCGAGATCACAACCTCTACCAGGGTATCTCGGCAAGGCACCATTCTACATTTTCAACTTCCTCGTGGAGATCCAGACGGTACTCATGTACGCCATACTTCGCGTAGACCTCCGCTGGCACATCCCCAATGGCGCAAAGGGGCCTGGTAGCTACGCTAGATCACGAATGGGCGACGTGGAAATGCAAGACTCGCGACCTACTTCCTCGGATAGCGTACAAGATGACAACAAGTCGACCAGATCTTTCAATGAAGACGAAGAAAAAGAGCTAGAGAACGAGAAGGTCGAGGAGCTCCCTGCCCCCAGGATTATAGAGATAGATCTCGGAAACTCTTCGCGCAGCTCCCTGGCGCCGCCAGACATGGACCTCAACAGGAACTCGGCCCGCAGCTCTCTGGCAGTACCAAAGACGGCAGATAGATCAGCGCGCAGTTCCATCATCTCCCAACGCCTATCCTCATTCATCAGCAAGTCCACCAGCACACTAGCCACCTTTGCGACCGCGGAGCAAAAGCAACGATGGCGGGAGAGCGAGGAGGCAAGAATCGTCCGAAGACTGGGAGGTCCATGGCAGCAACTCCCTAGCCCGGTTGAATCGACCTTCAGCATGAGCAAGAGCCCGACGAGGAGCGTCTTCAGCCGTACGACAGGAGGGGATGAACCGGAGGCGCCTGAACCAGCATATCACCAACGAAGCGATAGCGGTGCGCCTAGTATACCCGACGTCGTTGCGGAGGGCGGCTGGACACCGAGGATTGACTGGGAATTCCGCAGCCCGAGACGCTTCCTCAGTTTGAAGAAGAGGAGTATGATCGGTTTGCAGCTTCCGAAGTGAGCGCCAGGACTTGAAGCGGATTGATGCGAATTTTTTTACAGCGAAGGCGTTTGTGGGGATGGGAAAGGTACTAATGCACTGCTGGGCGGCAAAAGCTTTTTCTGGTGTTCATCATACCCATCTGCTTTTTGCGCATATATTGGAAGTTTATACAAGCTTTATGACCTTTTGCTTTTTTCATGTAGCATGTACAATAGCAGTCATTGCGTTCTTTCTATCGATACATGAACAGTTCCCGTGCGCCACATCGTTCACATTACGTCCATCTCCATCCTACCCACAGACTCATCGCCATACATCGTCACTTCATCCTTACATCAACAGCAATATCTCACGCGGTAGACCCTGACCCAGACTCACGAATAAATTTAGTGTGACGGCTCCCCTCCCAGCAACCCGGTCCCTGTACCTGAATCCCCAATCCAAAACAAATCAATAGTGCGAAACGAACATGAAGTTGCCTCAGGGAACGTTGGGTCTGCTGTCACCCGTTTCGAGGCGTGAACTAGGGGCCGCGCTAGTGTGTTAGCCCGTGTATGTGGATCGTTTGATGGGTTGTTGAACTTCGTTTGCATCGTTGTGTGTTTTGTCTGGGGGTCTGGGGGTCTGGAGGCCTAAGGATGCAAGAGCTTGAAGGGTTCTTCGGGATGTTAGTGCATCGCGCAGTGGCGGTTGGCAGGGACAGTGAGAAAAGTGTCATAAGATTGCAGGTACTCATCCCGCCGTCATTACTTGAACGCCCTGTGCCCTCGCCTTTGCTCGCTCGCCACCCATCGCAATTCAACCTGGAAACCTACATAGGAATCCGTCTCATCTCATCCAAACTCCAATACTTCCTCATATTCTCGGCTTCCAACTGCTTGACCTCATCATCCAGATGCTGCCATAAAACCTCGCCAAACGAATCGAAAATCTCCTTCAACTCTCCCAAACGCAACTCTCGCTCTCCGCCTTCGCACTCTTCCAGGTACTTTTCTAGCTTGTCGAGACCCTTGTGGATCTGCTTGTGCTGGGTGAGGAGCTCGAGTTCCTTCTTGAAGGCGGGCATCTTCTTAGCCAGGACGGGGAAGATGTGCTGCTCTTCTATTGTGTGATGCACTGTGAGGTGATCTATATGGGGACGGTCAGATGATGATAGTTTTTGGCTGAGTTATGGGAGAAACTGACGACAAAATTGTTGGCCCATGCTAATAAATTGGCGGATGGACATGTTCTTGGGCCTCTTCTGTGCCTCACACGCTCCATACAGAACTTTCCACGTCGCCCTAAAGTTGTCGTGGAAATAGTTCATGTGCTCCGCCATTCTGTTGTACTGACGAAACTCGGATGCGGAGAGTTTGGGTAGAGGCTTTTCCTCATTGGCCGCAGGGGTGGAGTTTGGGTCATTTACTACAGGAGGGGCAGGTGCAGTAGGACCGTCATCTCCTGAAATGGTTGCCATGTTTGCGGGGCGTATAGATTGTTGCAGACTGGGGCTGACCGTAGAATACTGCCTTGCAAACGATGTCAGAGCAAGTCGAGGTGGGGCTCTGAGAATGGATGCGATAGATTGAACACGCTTCATACGCTGGAGAGAAAAGCAACAATGTCACACGAAGACGATGTAAAGATATAGTTCGGGGTATCTATGTTTTGCGTGGCACAGCCTTGCATGCTTGGGAAGTGATTACCCATCTAGCCACTGGCGGCTTGTGAAATTTGCATTAGCAAGCGGCCGGCAGTTGCACTTCCCGATCCCGGTAAGACGCGTTGATAACGCGCCAGATCACGTGACTGCGCTATCACCAACGCGACCATGGTCACTTCTTTCTCGTTTTGGCAAACTTCTCGTGCCACTTGCGCGCTGACGGCTTCATGGCTGCCACTGAGCTGTCTCCAACTGCAGTTGTGGCGGCCTTGCTCTTCGCCCTTATTGTTGTATCGGATGGGAAGTCGTAGATGCCTTCGATGGCACCGAGCTGCGCGTCTTTGCGCCATACTTCGGGCAGGCGGTCCTCCCACGTGTCGGTGAAGTCGGCGATGAGGAAGTCTGCGCCGCGTTTGGCTTCCAGCAATGTCCTGCCAGTAAATGCGACTGTCTTTTCCCGATCCAGACACGACCACGGTCCGTTCTTGTCGTTGTCTGCTGTGGATAGGTATGCCAGTATGGCCTCTACAAGGCCTGGCGGATGCCCTTCTTCAGCTGCGACTTTGGTGATGTCGTTGGACAAGAACTGCGCTTGTAGTTTGATGCCCTCGGCCAGTGCAGCGGCGTTGATGGACCTCCATACTTGTGAGAGGGCGTTCGGCGAAGGCTGGTATGATCCTCCATCCACCTCGAATGCCATCAGCTCGCCCCATCCCACCTGGCATTCCCCATCTGACAAGGGCATATCGCTGAACATGCTCGCCTTGCTCCTACCATTGCTGGTCGCGTCGACGTCCCCTGCAACAATGTCGTATACCGGCAGTGCCTCTCTCAGTAGGGCGGTGGCAGACGCGGTGGATGCATGAGCTTCGAGCGTCGCGGTGCACAGCGCAATGGCGCGCGTGGCAGGGGTGGGTATCTCGTTGCCATGGGCCTCGAGCGCGGGCTGGGCTATGTAGAGCGAGTTGGAGGTTTGGACCTGGCGCAGCTGGAAGGTCTTGTTCGGCGTACAAAGTACTGCATATGCAGGCTTCGCGTTGGACGTGCCAGAAGCGGCAGACTGGACTTGGGACTTGATGGAGAGCCTAGCGCGTATGATGAGAAGGGTATCCGCATGGAAACGACAGGTCAGCGCACCTACAGCGGCGGGTTGGGCGCGTCTATCAGCTCAACAATCTCGGGGGGCAGCTCGAGCAGGCGGAAGTGCTGCTGCTGGTGGGCAATGGAGAAGGGCACACCGCCTTCATCTTGCTGCGTGGCCATGTCTTGACTCAACACACACAACGTCCAATTTGCGCTGCTGACAGTCTCAAAGTCTGTTGTACCTCATCTCATCGCGGCAGCTGCTATGACGACGGTGCTTTTTTGTTTGTGGACACTGCGGGGTGCGGCGATGTGCAGCTAGCAGAGAGACGGATCGGACGATACGCTGCAAGGGCATCATTTGCAGGCCAAAAATACTTGTCACTGCGGCCGCTTGCTGGGAACCCCATGCTCGGGCGTGTCGCACCTGTGGCACCTTGGTTATTCGCGCTGCAGCTGCCCACCCGCGCTTGGTCGCAGCCGCATGACCGCTTTCTTGGTTCGGGCTTCAACAAGATCCATGGGATTTGTTGTTGTTTAGTCCCGGGACGCGCCTCCACTGTCCCTTCTCTACCCCAATGGCTTCCTAGCACCACCGACTCGGACGACAACAACACCGCCTGCCCCTCTGCCGCTGCGCCCAGTCATGCACCCACCGTCCTAATTGCCTCTTCACTGTCTGACTGCTGCCCGCCGTCGCCGTCACTCGTTTCCGCGCAATTGGCACCATGGTCGTAATCAATCCCGAGCCCGCGGCCCTGTCCGCCGAGGACCTGTCGCTCTTCTACACGACCGACGAGCTGCTCTCCAATTCCCCCGTGCTCATCTTCTACGGTCCGACGGCCACTTCCACACAGGCGACACATTCGCGCATCCAGGCCCATGTCTTCACCCCGGCCGGCTTCCAGAACTTCGCCCGCCTGATTATCTCGCCCACAGCCACATACTACAATGCCGTCACATGTCTGCCGCGCGAGGAGCAGGGCGACGAGATATGTCGCGGTCTCGCCTTCAGCCTGTACAAGTACTTCCTCGAGCTGCCCGCGGAGATCAAGAGCGCTTGGGAGAGGCGGTATGATTCCTCCGCCAACCTGCCCATGGCCCCCAGGCTGTTCTCCGAGGCGCATGCCGCCATTGTCGCTGCCAGGATGATCAAGGTCGAGAACGTCGCAGATGTCATAATCGACGTGCGCCATGCTTTGGGCGAGCAGACGCTTTCCTGGATAGATCTGGATGTAGTCCTCCCCCAGGGCAGTGTCACGAAGCTGGAATCGCGCGAGTCCGGCCAGTTCGAAGACCTCGAAGAAGACCTCATCGAAAAGCGATACGGACAGTACGCGCCCGTCGTCAGGCTGTTCGGAGATGGCGCCTTCCTCCCGACCTCCAAACTCCGCCGCGCACCCTCCAAACCGACCGCCCTCAACCGATCACAATCCTTCTCGAGGAAACAAAAAGAGACTCTCCGACGGGAGATGTGTGAGCTGTTGGACACGGAAGAGAACTATGTCTACAAACTGGACGAGCTGGTACACACAGTAGCGGTCGAGTTCCGTGAGAAGGCCAAGCAGAAGTCGAGCTCGAGCTCCAGCCCTACCGAACAAGCATTGAGAGGCTTGTTTCCTCCCAGTCTGGACAAGATTCTAGAGGTTAATTCGCAGTTCTTGGACGCTCTACGTATAATTCTGGAAGAGTCGGAGAACGGAGCCATTGAGGACATTGAGACAGCAACAGACGATGTCTACATCGCGCCCTTGCGTGGACAGAAGGACGCACCAGATGTCACTGGAGCGGCCGCCGTCGCCAGGGCTCTTGTTGAGTGGCTTCCACAATTCGCAGATTGCTACACCGACTACATGGCGGCCCACGGCGACTTCTCACAGCTGCTGAAGCATTTCACAAAAGACACAGCCTCCAGTTTCTCCAAGCGAGTCTACGAGACGGGCGAGCAGCGACTCACATCTATGCTCATCGAGCCTGTTCAGCGCCTGCCACGATACAACCTGTACATCGACAACATCATCAAGCAACTGCCCCTCAGGCATCCGGCTATCAAGATCTTCCTCAAGGCAAGGGACATGATCTCGGATATCTGCACAAGAGAAGGTCCCACGGCGCAGCAGATCAGAGTGTTCGACCGCTTGCGCAAAATGGTGACTTCGTGGCCTTCGGGATTCAACCCTAAAGGACGAATGATCTCAGCCATTGATTGCGTAGAGCTGTCCCCACCATATCACGGGGAGTTATCTGGACCTGCTACGGTGTCCGGTATCATGGTACTCTTCACGGACTTCTTGGTGCTTCTTCAAAAGTCGGAGGATGGTTCCATCAATGCGCGTGGCTTGCTCGCCGAGCTCGACAACCCCAAATTCGCCGAATCGTTTGATGGATCTACGGAACTCATGTTTCATCAATACTTGAGTCTCAGTGATGTCTTCTTGAGTGAACACTCAGAAGGATCAATACTGCAAATGATATCCCCGGTACCGCTCGCCAGCCAGCCCGGACGACCGAGAAGTCGAGAACGCCAGAAGCTTGGCATTCGCATGTTCTACCTGCAAGGCTCCTATGAGGGTAAAGGCCACAAGGTTACCGAGGAGCTCACCAAAGCTCGTGTGGAAGGCAGATTTCCAGAGGCGGAGCGAGAGGGCGGCAAATGGGACGTTCGAAATTTGCCAGGCGATCTCAGTTTCTTTTCGTCTATAGCGGAAGAGGCAGCTGGCCAGCAGGTAGAAGGTCGACGCGAGCCTGCGAGGGTACAGATCCTTGTCGAAGGGTCTAAGTTCACAAAGCCTATTCAAGTCGGTGACAGCGGCGTCGAGCTTACTGTTACCATCACCATACTTGGCGACGGACTCTTTCTGCTAGAGTCCAACGGGGCCCATGGATACACGGCACGCGACAAATTGACCGACCAAGAGTTCCGACCTGTTCTCACGAAGCGCCTCGCCAACTACTTCCAACTGCGAAACAGCGTTAAGAACCACACACTGGCCGAGGCGTATCTGACGCGAAACCAGCAGATACTCAAGTCACTCGCTCTGGAGATGTACGAGGCAGAACCACAGACTGGTAGTAAGAGCCGTCCACACTCTCCAGTGAAGATGCTGTCTAGTTTCTTTGGTGGCAGTGTGAGTAGTATTGGCCGCGAAGGAGGAGGCTCTCGTAGACTCCAACGCAATGCGCATACCATGGGAGAGGTACCGCGCATGGCACCTCCGGTTCAACTTGGGCCGAATCGTACGTACAGCCATGACGGGGAGATGTCGCGCCCTACCTCGTCCAGCACCACTAAGAGCGCTACCTTCAACGGCCCGAGCGATCCCTTCTCAAAGCTCGAAGATACCTTGGCAAATCTGACTCTAGCACTGCACGCGCGCAAAGGGAACATTGTCGGGCGTTCTGTCAGAGCGAGAGCAGTCGCCGATGAACTTGTTGTCAACGAACTCTACAACACGCTTTTGGAGAACCCTGCCAATCTTGAACTCGCTGGTCAATCATCTGTGGATGTACTTTTCGCAGTGTTTGAGAAGTTTTTGAGTGTCGCTTGGAAAGAGCGAATGGGTCCTGTGCTGTCGCATGCCACATTGGTCTCATTACAGATGCGATCAGATAGCATGCCACCTGATGAGTTCGAGGAGTTCTTCAAATACACTTTCGACCAGTTTGCCCCTCCAAACCAACGAGCGTTCCGCGCTGTCATCAATCTGCTAGCCGAACTGCTCGATGGCACCAGCAACGATGGCGATCGAGGTATTCTCACAGCAGCCTTTGCTGAGATGTTAGTGCCCGCCGGTAACGCAAACGACTTCATCTCCCTTATGGACCGCTTGGTGCAAGATATCGACGCCCTGTTTCCAGCCGAGACACCTGGGTTCAGTACTCCAAACTATGGCTCTATGGACTCAAAGAGTCGCTACGCTGCTGCCGGCTCGCTCAACTCCAACACATCACTGCGGAGACGTTTTGGCTTTGGTACCTTGACACGCGAGAACAGCAAGTCAGAGAATGAGTCCAAGGTAGGCTCACTCTGGCGCTCATTGAGCAAGAACAGCCATGGTACAGACCTCCAGTCGCCCAGCATGGGGAAGGCTGGTCCCGGGCACCTTGGTCGCTCCAACTCGATAGACGCTGCTGCTCGCCTATCGCCAAAGCGACCGTCCTCTCGCGACCGTCCGACTGTTCTCGGCGCGTTTACGTTTGAGAACGCGAATTCAAACTCGAACTCGAACTCGAATTCGAACTCGAACGCGAATGGTCGGTCGTTCGTGGGCAATCTTGGGACAATTGGAGAGGTACCTTCCACTACTGGGCCTCCCCGCAAGAAGCGCCGCTCTTCTTTGAGCGATCTCAAGACGTTGCAGGATGCTGACGATGTACCCGAGTGGTCCCCGCAGACTCCTCGCAAGGTCGATCCTGCATTGCGCCACGAAACACGCCAGATTAGCGAGTCCCCGCTGGCTCCTTCAGCCGCTACAATGGCTTTACACAAACACACTTCGTCGATACCGACGCCTACCCGACTAGGCTCACCGCTGCGGGTGGAAAGGACAGACAGGAAGGAGAACTCCCCTGCAGTCGGCTTGGATCGTCCAGCACACATTAGGGGAAAGTCGGTCACGATGAAGCCGGACGTCGATGATGAAGTCACCATCAAGTCAAACAGCCCTACGAAGAAGCGAAGCGAGACTGTTTCAGGCATTCCCAATCCTCTAAACCTCCCGAACAGCTCAGCCATTCCGAATCTACGACCAACTACCAGTGCTGGTCTGCATGAACGAACGGGATCCGGCAACGCTGTCAAACTGCCACCCTCGACTCCGCGATCTCCGACCAAAGCCAGCACTCCTTTGACTGGGAGCCCTCCCAAGAAGCTGAGAATGCAATCACCTCAAAAGCTGCGCGAGCGACTGCAAACTCAGCAACACGATATCGACACAGCTTCGCAAGCTTTACAGAATGAACTGAGTGCCATCGGTCAAGAGCTGAATGCTAGAAGCACGCCGCGTCTGACAACCCAGAGTTCTGCTCCATCGTTGATAACGAATGGGACGGCTGCAAGGACGGCTGAAGCGCGCGTTGCTGCTCTAGAGAAGCTCAGAGCTACACTGGAAACCCTCTCTGCACGTACTTCGGGAATCTCAAACGACGTAACAACTTCACTACAAGTGTCGGAGGCTCGATGCAAGCACCTAGATCAGTTGTACCGCAACGCAAACGCGGAGAACGAGGCATTGTACGTGAAATTCAACGAAGAGCTGGAGAGGGTGACAAGCAGCGCTCGCAAGGGAAAGGCTAGCGAAGAGGTGGAACGTCGGTTGAAGACGAGCGAAGAGGAGCTGACCCGCCTGCGAAAAGAGAACGCAAGACTGAAGAGGGAGAATGCTGGGTTGAAGGCTCAAATCAGAGAGTGAGTAGTCGTCAAGACTGCTCAATCGCCCTGATGTGTGCCAGATGGGGGCACAATGTTGACGAACCTGTAGTCTGCTCAGCGTAATTAATATCGCGGCTGTAAGGTTCGCCCTGCTTCTGGACAGTTTTGCTACGGCGGTTCTGGCATGGGTACAGTACGTAACCATACGTGCTTGCGTTGCGGTCGCTTTTCTGACCATATTCCCTGTACTTCTTTTTGTCGAACTCGGGCTGATGGCCCTCGAGCTTTCAGGTTGGAGTGTGGGCGCGAGGGACTGCGTTATGATAACATGACATGGCGTTAGCGAAGCCACCTTTAGAGCAATATACCATCTGCTTTTTCTTTTGCTAAACGTGCTTTCTTCGATGCTGACCTCAGGTGATTTTGACGAGCATCAGGGTTGGCTAGACTTAGTGTGGTATGCTCGAGAGTGTTTTCAAGGTAGAAGTGTACATTGCCTCAGCAACTGCTCACTTATCAAACTATGATAGTAAGGATGCAGCAAACCTTAGAAATGCGACACGAATTCGAGCTACCTCTGGTGAAGGGTCCAACCTGTCTCAGGGTGCAGACGTGGTGACGGTGGCAGAAGAAGGCCAATGGGTTCCCCAGTCGCGCAGCCTCGCCAAGTGGGATAGCAGCCTCAACCCCGCTAGTTTATGCATGTGTTGGCAGGGCTTTGCAGCTACACGGCCGGGGCAGTTATGCCGCGGTTATGCAGCTTGGTGGCCTGGTCTGGCCTCGAAGGGAAGGTGCAAAGGTGTCGGTATGCCGTTGTGCTGTGTAGCTCAGGGCGGAAAGGACAACTGGGAGTGTTTCATGGCGTGTGTAGTAGAGCTATTAATGGAGATTGATGTGCTGCCCGGGTGCGCTAGAAACAAAGTCAACGTTTCGCGCTCGATCGGGAGGGTTTCCGCTAAGGCGGAACTGGACGTGTCGGACGACGATCACTGACCGGGCTCGTCGAGCTGGGGATTAGTCTTCGTCATCAGCGGCTTCGATAAAGGCGCAGGGCAATCGCTTGCGTGCATGGCAATTCGCGCATGCTAAGAGACCTCATCCCAGAGCCGGCCGCCAACCTGCCCAGACGTGTCTGTCCTGCATCGTCACTGCTTCTCCACCCCGGCCGGAAACCGGATCCGTGGACCGCGCTCACCCAAACCAGCGACGAAACGTCGGCGCTCCACCGCGATTGACCCTTTCTCTACCACCCTTTGGAAGCCTCCACGACGGAGAGCGGCAATGACTCTCCATACTCCATCCAGGACCGAGTGCTCCCGCGCCTGCAACCTTCTCCGCCGACCAACACCACAACGCGCGTCCCAATCTCCGCCGCCCTCACCCTCTCGCAAGCTACCGGTTGGCTAATATCTATCACCGCCACCATGGCCTGGTTCATGAGAGGCGTCCAGAGTGCCGTCTTCCACTACGCCTCGTGCGCCCCCTGCACCGGCTACTCGGACGGCAGGAAGAGACGGAAAGCAGCAAAGGCCGCGAGGAAAGTGCGGGAGAAGCTGGAACTCGAGCAGCCCGACGCCTACCACCATCCCGAACCGACTGGGACCAATATATACTGGCATGAGGAGATCGTCATGGGCCCAGGACCGCCGCCACGAAGGGCGCGGAGGACCAACACGGGCACTACAGGCAGCACAAGGGGCATGCCAACTCGCGGAACACAGGGCTCGGCCATGAGCAAGGGCGGGAGCAGCATCGATGTCGACCAAGCAGGTGACATGCGCCTGAGCGACGATACCCTCGACGACGATGAGACATGGAACCACAAGCGCTATCAGAGGGAAGACGAGGATCTATGGGGCCACGACGAGCCCTCGATAAACCTCGAGCAGACCATGACAGGCTCGTCAACGGGAGGCGCCGGCTATCAAATACGGAGACCAGGCACTTCAAGATCCGGCAGCTACTACACCGCGCGCGCACCGCCCGTCAACGATCTACACCCTCCTGTCGTCAGTCTCCCCTCTCCCGACCCCCTCGACAACCGATGGATGCTCCAACCTCCACCCAAAGCTAGTGTCATGGCTGGAAAAGAACGAGCAAGAAACAGGAGTCGAAGTGGCAGCGGCGCCAGTAGTCGCGTCGAGTTGAGCTTGGGTCGCCAGGTCAGCACAAGGCACTTGATGAACAAGCTGGAACGAGGCGAGACACCCGAGGCCCGCTCAGCATCGCCCAACGGTTCGTACTTCAACCCATCACGGTGCAGGACCCCACAAGCACGGCCACCTTCTGCCACGAGCAGCTCACGCCGAAGACAGAGAAGAGACACCAAGGTCGACCTCGCCATGGCGCGGACCGAGACAGTGAGCACCCAGCATTCATCTGGAGACTCCAGCGACACAATCGTCCGAGGCAACTCCGCACCTCGTTCCGCAGTCGTCCCAGACATCAAAGTGATCCGCGTCCGTCAGAGCCGACCCGCACTCTCCACTGTTCTGTCCAGCAATTCGGGAAGGAATGGCAGCGACGAAAACGCACTCCCGCTTCCCGAAAAGCCCAGTCCCGCTCACCACCGATATACAACCACGTCGACCCCCGATTCCATCCCTTACTACACCAAACATCGCGAACCTCTCAACTCGTCCGACATTTCCTCCCTAAACTGCCTCCAAGACCTCGTGTCCCCTCGCGCCCTGCTCAACTCGCGCTTCGTCTCCGCACCACTCGTCGAAGCTAAGATCCGCCTACCGCCTTCAGAAGAAGACATGGCAGCAAGAGCGCGACGGGATATGTCCGACAGCGGCTTCAGCCTATCGCGAGATTGGGACGAAGAGGAAGAAGGCATCGTGAATGTTCCCTTTGATCGCAACTTCGGACCGCCAGAGAGGGATCCTCGGTTTAGATGGAGTGTCGACTTTTGAGCGCATCTCGACCGCCATTGCCACACACACACACGACATTCACACATACACTTCACTTCTCCACGCGCGCATCTTCAGCGTTGGCATCTTATTGCATTGCATCGCATAGCCGATTTCTCCACCTGTTTTTCTTTCCCTTTGTTATCAGCGATGATTTTGTTCCGCAAAGCGAAAATTGCATACTCGCATTTTGGATAGACACGAACTTTGACGACCTCCACCAAATGGCGTTTTGGGCGGGTCCTGATGGATTCAGGCATCGTTTGCTTATTTTCTTGGGTGCTGGCTTATGGCATTGTCACCTGTTCGCTTCTTCATGGTATGGGTTTTGTATATATCGCTGCATTAGATATATGACTATTCGAGAGTGAGCTCCAGGAAGAGCTTCATTTCACACCACAAATATCTGTCCTCAATTGGTACATGCATTGCTCAGGTTTCATTCATGTTAACACCGTTTGTATACTGACTTGAGGTAATCGATTGATGCTTGCTTTGCTTTCTAACATCGCTCCAAAAACAATGCACACGCATGCTACATGATTTCCCGTTCCATTCGATATCTTACAACTCCGCGTAAACATGATCTATCGTGCGCCCAGATCCCACAACCTAAGCGTCTCGCCCTTTCCGCCCCTCTTCTTGTTGCCCTTCTCCTTGCCACCCTCGGTCAACTTCAACATACATTTCGATACAGCCGCTAAGCACTCCAGTACTTCGCTCATCCTGCCTGTCTCCAGCAGACACCTCTGCACCCACTCGTTACTCCTGTCCGCTACTACAACAGCTACTTCCATGGCCTTGATCGCGGGGTCCTTGTTCAGGAACCAGGCTGCCGCTTGCAGGACTGAGAGGTATGCGAGAATCATGTCTGGTATGTAGGCCTTCATCAACTCCCAGGTCTTACTTGTGAGGTATTCAGGATCGGCGGCGGAGGCATCGGAGATGGCAGGGATGAGGGTGTCGAAAACGTTTGATATCGAGTCTAGGAGCGCTCTCGTGCGTTGGATATCGGGCTTGTGTTTCGCAGAGGCCCCGTCCTTCTTGCGTTCGGCGCGGATTCTGTAGCGGGTGTTAGTTGGTGTGTTTAGAGGAGGGAAGAGAAAGTTGACTAACTGGATGAGTGTCTGCTCCTCTTCACGCCATTCACGGAAGAGGACCAGTAAGCGCACAGTCTGCTGGAGGGTGTAGTATGAAGTGCTACTCTGGCGCATGGCGTTCACCGTCCTCCTGTGCCGGTCTGCGCTGGGCAGTTTAGCCATGGGAATAGCGGCAGCTCGGTCAGCAGTAGACAGGCTGTCGCGGTGTTCATGCAGTCGCTGCTCATCCTGCTCCTCTGCTCCTGGCATTGTGAAATCGAAGGGGTAGCCGAGCAGGGCTTCTGTCCTGGACAAAGACAGAGTCTCAACGCTTAGATCGCCAATGACCTTCTCAGCGGCGGCAAGTCGACCATTGACTGAATGATATGTCAGCAAGTTTCCGTTTGTGCATGTTAGACGTGACTTACGAAGGAAGATGATCAACGCGCTCTGCAAGTGTGCAAACGTCTTCTCGAAATCCTTTGTGACATAGCTGTACCATTGCACCGAATCGATAACAACCTCGTCTTGTGGGCTTATTCCAGCACCGTCGAATGTGCGCTTGACACGCACGCCTGGCCATAGCAGCTGCTCGGTCGGAAGTGTGATCTTTTCTAAAATGTTAAACCGCTTGATAGGATTAGTGATAACGCCATAGCCATCGTTGGTAAAGTGCGTAAATCCACTATCCCGCGAAGCAAACGTGAAGCTCTGCGAAATGACCTGGACAACATCAATCCGGTATGACTCCATCAGCGCAACGGAGTGTCGTTGCTCAGAGCTGTTCTTGATATCGGGAAGCACGCGCGCAAGGCTGTAGGCTGCTCGTTCGGGGATGAGTTGCGCGGCGTATAGTGGTATAGTATCGAATCGTTTGGTGAGGCGCAAGAATTCGATATAAGCTGTGATGACATTGTCCATGGCTAAGAATTTCTTGTCCTGGTGTGTATCCTCGAAAAGCGTGTGTAATCCGTTGCGAAGGACAATGAAGATGTGGACAATAATGCGGAAAGCGTGTGGATCCCTCGCAAGGGCCTGGTAATATGGCTCTGCGTGGTATGTGCGATGTTCTCCGGCGGGTATTGGGCTTCGGTCCTCTTCTGGTGAGTCTGGGTGTATGATGAGACTGTGAGGTCGCTCGTCCTTGTCGAACATGTCTGCAATAGCTACACCGACCTTCAGCATCAGATCATCAGCGTCTCTGCCAATTAGCGCGCTCTGGATAAGTTTGATCGGAGAGACCGCTTGCGCTGCTGTGCTCTTCTGCTGCTTCAGAAGGCTCATCACCTTTTCCGGTGATTTCTCCCACTCTCCGATATTCGCGACGGCGTCCTGGAACAGAAACTTCTGAGTCATGCTTTCTGTCACTCGATTCGGGTGCTTCTTCTGGAGATATGAGTCGAATCGCGACAGAAGAAGTGCGTTGTAGTGCGCATGCAGATGGTCGTCCCAAGACCTGCAGACCGTCTGTACTTGCTTCAAGTCTCCACTCAACAGCCCATATACAGCGCCTTCGTATGGTATCCGAGCACCCCTTGCGGCGTAGAAGCACATGCGACGGAACAGATAGCCGACCGTCGGCCCCGCGACATTCGGGCCACCTTCAGGATGGCCCTCGTACGCAGCTCCAATGCTAACACCGCGCCACGACTCGTTTCGCTCGTAGCACCAGTCGACGATTGTCTTCCAGGGGAGTCCCCGTCGCATCATTTCGTATGCGACCATCCAGAGAGAGCGCTCGTAGTACTCGTCGCTCCGTTCGAGTGCGCGCTTTTGCCTAGAAGGGGCGTCCGGGTCCAGTTGGGTAACGAGGTTCGCGGTCCTGTCTGAGGTCTTGAGATTCGAGTTGATGGGCTTCAGAGGTTGGTCTATGTCGTCCATGCGCTTCGCCTGCTTGATCTTTGTCTTCGTCTCCAACCATCCGCTGGTCCATGTATGCGCGCCCTTTCCGGAGTGTTCCTCAAGCCCTGTAATAATCGCTTTGACGTCGCTGTCACTGTCGCGCGCTGTTTGTTCCAACCAGCGAAGGACAAGCGCCTTCTCTTTCGCCTGGTCATCCTCCAGCAGAAAACGATCCCAGATCTCACTATTCTTGCAGTATCTTGCAGATCCCCCAGCCTCTTCCAGTTGCGCTTGCTTCTCGGCAGCAGAATCGGTGCCAGGCTCGGGGTTGTAATGTTCGATGACCAGCTTCAACAGTTTCCATGTCGCAAGCTCAGCCTGCCATTCTCGTAGTTCTCGAACATTCGCGGAGACGGAGGCGGCGTTCGGTTCGATGGACGAAATGACTGATTGGGACGACTGGCCGAACAGACTCTGGCCCGGGTTGTCTGACGCATCTGCCATAGTCTGTATTTGTCGACGAACAGTCTTGCTGAGGCTTCCCTTGTTCTCTGCTTCGGTCGTTCTCTTCAACTCCTTCACGTGTGATTCCGCAACGTCTTGGAACTTGCCGACCAGCTTGACCGTGGTCTGGTATTTGGCTTTCTTCGATTCGTTGCCATGGACATGCCAATGGTCTACTCGCTCCGCAAACTTCTCCACCTCTTTCCCTACACGTTCGGCCATTGCGCGCAGCGGTTGTAGCGGATCGTTGGGTTTGGCGCCGTTCGTGGCTCGGGATGTTCCGAAAAGGAGCGCATTGTTGTTGTTGGACTGCATGAGATGTCAGCCTCCATTGGAGCGGAGTTGGAGATGTCTCGGGAGGCAGCAGGATCTCTCTAATGACTTACCTGAGCTGCAGTCGGCTGCGACTGACGCGATAATGATCGTGAAGCCATGGCGGGTGGGAAGAGTATGAATCCGGAATGGCGGGAAGAAGGCGATGAGACAGTCTCAGTGGTGCTTGATCAGACGCGCCCCAATGACGTGTTGGGAGCTGCGATGCTCGTGGTTGACTGCCCCAAGCCCATCACAAAACACAAGTCGCGCGCCGACGGTCCCTGCCCTTAGCGCGTCGCCAAGCTTCGGCGCGCTAGTGAACATAAAACTCAAAATCTGCCCTTACCCAGAGTCTCTCGGCACAATGTTTTCACAGGACGGCGCCTTTAGAGTCTCGTCAGGAATCTTCAGTTTCTCATGACGCGCTCGTGCTGTCCTAGATCAATGCGCTTTCTGGTAACCTGGCTGGACTCCCAAGTGGGGAATGACAGTGCGGATGATATAGGAAGTGATACATCTCTTAAGCTAACGACCCATTGCTCGAATGGCATGCGAATGTCTTAGGCACCATACTCGTCTGACCGGCTCATACATCTCGATGCGTCAGCCTCGCGAAGGAGCCCCTTTCCATGAATGTACTCTGGCAAGGATGCATACCTATGATGCTTGCTGTAGCTGGTGTTCCAATATGCTTGAGCCAGACGACAGCTGATACCATCTGGATGCGATGCTACGTACCGTTGACTTCAGAGAAAACGTGCCCCGTCGCGACACTGCTAGTGACGCGAAACTTTTGCATGGAGAGGCCGAGGATCCAGTGTCAATCGCAGAAAGAAGCTCCAGGCGTTTTGATTTGTTATGTTACACGACTATAATTACACGGGATATGGATACAACTGTTTGCTAGAGGCTATGATATCCCTTTCGCACGCTGCTCCATCTTGAGTCTGAGGTGTCGTTAGAACTGCTGATGAATTGAACGGATCTCGAGACTCACTTAAGGAGGGTATATTTCGGACAGCTCACCGTGCTAGCATTCTCCCCTTGCTCTTTGTAGAAGGCGTTGCAGCATTCGTATAGCGCATCAACCTGGTTTTGGTCAGGCTGCGTTCAAAGTCGTTCTGTGTTCAAGGGCTCTTCTGTAAGACATGGATGCATACCTCTTTTCTGCACTTTTCCTCGTTGTAATTATTCTTCTGTATGCAGTCTACCACTTAGCTCAGTATGATACAAGTTGACTAGATACACACTTTGAATTGCACATGCTCTAGGATGACACGGAGGATCTGTCCTCAAGTCCTTTTCCATTTCTCCCTTGGGTCTGGTCAATTTGGTACTCGCCGCCGGTTCCATAAGCGTGACATCATGAGCATACCATTGTGAAAATAGCCAACAGCCGCAGCGATGCAAGAGTCGATATGCAAGGTTTTTAAAAGCAGAAATCCAGAGGCAGAAAAGATAGCGACTTGGTAAGAAAACAGGTGAGACGAGTTATGTCGTGCAGGTAAAGGTGATGAAGGTGAAGCCGGTTGGTTAGGGCTGGCCAATGCTTTGAGAGCGAGACCCCACTAATTCTCAGTGCTCCCACCTCGTCGTCGTTGCGCTTTCCTCCTGCACAGAACTCCTCACGCGTTGCCACCGCTCCTACATAAACCCGACGCGTCTGCCCAGCCTCACGAGAGTCTTCTATCACCCGACGTAATCAGCACCAGTGCGCCGGTATTAAGGTACGGCTATCTCCGCACTATATAAAGCAGCCTCCCCCACGACAAAACGGCGCTTCCTCATTCTCCACCGCTTCCGCTGGATAGCCAACTGACCTCGCCGAACAGCCCTACCCGACCGCTCTGCGACCCAACACCTCACTTAGACGCCCACGCACCTCCCACGCCTCAAAATGTCTGACAACGGTTCGCCCAACGTGCAGCAGAAGCCTGAAGACGGTGGCCAGAGCGAGCACCTCAACATCAAGGTCACCGATAACAACAACGAGGTCTTCTTCAAGATCAAGCGCACCACTGCCCTTGGCAAGCTTATGAACGCCTTCTGCGACCGTCAGGGAAAGAACATCTCAAGCGTGCGATTCCTGTTCGACGGCCAGCGCGTAACAGCCGCGGACAACCCAGACACGGTACGTGATAGAGTTGCAGTCGTCTCCATACAGGGAAAGGCTGCGCTTCTGGGAAAATTGCTAACGCGACACAGCTCGACATGCAGGACGGCGACACCCTTGAAGTCCACCAGGAGCAGATTGGTGGCTGCTGACCGGCGACCCTCCGCGACAGTGTGCAGAAGTCCTTACAGCTGCACTGAATCTCGACACCTAGTGGCTAGGCCGTCACCTTGTATACCCACGAGTGCGACCTGCCGAAGACCTACGAGGACACGATTGCTTTCAGCGGCGGCGATGGCGGAAAAGAGGCATGGGTTTTGCTTTCACATATGATACTATGGGTTCGGGCGTCACGGATTTACCAAGACCGCCTTGCGGCGCGATTTGAGTCTTCACGGTTTAGCTGATGGTGCGCCATAAGCGAGAGGGATTGAATTTACTACATACTTTCCATGACTTATATGCACGTGTATTGTACCTAGCAGCAATGTGCGGCAGATGAAGATCGGTGCTCATGGAATCTCGAGCGAAGAAGAGGTTCGGTCTAATATCGAGTAAAATCGGTGCTCAATAACCCCATCTGCTGTGAAAATAACCAGCTACCACTTCCATGTTTCGTCAATATCAGGTAAACTTTTTACATCTAATTTACACATTTTCGTAGACTATATGTACATCAATACTAAAACTACATGCTTGGCATAGTCTGAGCATAAGAGCGTTCAACGGCTCTAGTCATCCCAAACAGCCTTCTTCCTGGCTTCCCTCTCCTCAGCCTCCTTCTTCTCCCTTTCCCTCTCCTCGGTCCTCCTCTTCCTCTCCTTCTCCCTCATGACACGGTCATACTCCCTCTCCTCTTCAGTCCTCTTCGGCGCTCTAACACCCAACGCACCCGCAATCATCCTCCCCGCTACAGACGTTGTCTTCTCTGGTCGTTTATCTGGGCCTCCTCTGCTCGAACTCCGACTCCCACTATCGCTCAAACTGGAGTTCAGGTTGTACGGAACATTGTCCGGGTATTCGAATTGCGTGGGACTGGCAGGTGTAGGCGGCGGCGGGTTCGGCGGGTTATCGCGCGAAGTTGTGGTCGATAAGGGTTGTAGAGAATCGTGTGGTGAGCCCTTCTGTGCAGACTTGCCGAGGTCTACATCCTCAGTCTCAGTATCCGACCCGCTGAGTTCGGCTTCCCAGCTATCTGCGACGGGCTTGGATTTGGGTTTCTGCGCGGTTTTCTGCGGATGCGAGGCTGAGAGCTCAAGGTTGCCGAGGGTGTTTGCGATTTCTGGGGTGACGGCATGTTAGTCGGAGCTTCTCTAATTGAACGTTTGGCGCACGAAAGTGCTCGATGAGGGAGGTGCGTACCTTCTTCGCTTGGTGTCTTGTTCATTGGCGCCATATTGTTTCTTCCGCTGTGCGTATGCCGTGTGCCGTGTGTGCTGTAATCTTGGGAGGGTCGTGTGAGGCTTGCGATGATTTGCGGGGTAAATGTTCCGGTTTCTTTGAGTAAGATGTCGGATGCGGGGGACGATCAATGGTTTAACGCTTCTGACTCTAGTAGAATGGCAGTAGCAAACTGTCAAGCAATTGAGGGTGCAAACGAGAACTTAAGAGTAAGGGTTCAACTGAGCCTTGGAAACTAATTATGGAAGTCCACGGATCGCTCCATCGTACGAACCGTGGAACTGGCTAGCTTTCCCCTGCGCCGATTGCCCGCAGAATACTAGGTAAGGTGCCTGTGGGGAAGGGCGCGCGTCACAACGCACGACATGCTTTCGGCGTCAGATCCATTGCTTCATTTAGGTGCGCGACCCACTCTCTAGATTCTAGAACGTCTGGTGTTCGAACAAATATAGATGTGGCTATGAACTCGTCTACAAGGAGTGAGGTGGTTTGCGCAACACGTACGTGCGTGTTCCTGCATTCTGGACCGATGGACCCTGGAAAAGGTTCAAAGTGATATTCAGGGGATAGAGCCTAGACTTTGACCTCCGAACTCTTACTACGGTTCCACACCACCAGCTTGTACAATGGAAACAAAAAGTGAACGGGTGCGCTACCGTCTAAATTGGTACCAGAGACTAAGCTAAGATTATCTCTGAGGCAATGTAGACTTTTAGCTTGACTGATTAGCATTTTCCTGCCCACTGACAAGCCACAATATATCCTGAGCCGGCGATGCCTTTTCTTTCATTATCACGATACAAGTACCCCAGTATCCTTTCCAGGCGTTATCGCCAAATGATATAAAGGGACTATTTTTGGGAGTTTGGATAGTCGGCGGAGTAGCAGAGCGCAGAATTTCGACGAGTAGAGCCTGGAACGCAAATCCAAGTTCTTCGAACATTGAAACAATGGTGAGTATGTTGCTGAAGATATCCAAACATGAGAAGGGCATTTGGAGGTCAACGAAGAGAGGCTTGAAGAGGAGCAAATTAATAAAGAAGGGCAGACGATCCATCATGAAGAGTCAAGGCAAGTGCGAGTGCGAGACGTAAGTGACGCAGACTGGAGGCGATCTGAAGGCGCTTGAGAATGAAAGCCTATACCGTTACTGCGATTCAAAGTGTGTTCGTCTGCCACTCGACAGCATCGTCTCAGTCTACCAGCTACGATCCAAACAAAACGGAAACAGCACGCATCTGCAAAGGTACACCACTCACATCGAAATGTTCCACATTCCCTTCCCAGCCTGAGGCAGCTCTCGCTTCAGCTCTCGCTTCAGCTCTAGTTCCAGCCTCTTCTGCGTCAGCTTCAGTATCGTGTCAAGGTCTATGCGAGCGGGGCCACGGTTGTCCACTGCCTGTACTGCCAGAGTATCATCTTCAGCCTCAGTGTCAGAAGATTGAAAGTCTGCGTTAGGTACGGACGAGTAGGTGAGCCATCCTGGGGCGTCTAGCTTCCTCAACTCGTACTTCGCATGCTCAACTCTCGATACAATGAGGGGTGCCCCTACGGATGAGTTGAAAGTATGCATACATTGCGCAGCATGCTTGATCATTTCGACGAGCTTTACCGGATACGGGCCCAATGGGCAAAGTCCGTAGTGATACCATGTGCTACTCGGGCGGAGTATGGGTAGTTGCAGAAATTTAGGTTGTTTGAAGGACTGCTCAACGGGCAACATTGAGCAGACAGCATCTTTCGTCTCAAGATGCTGTGGGACGTAGTATATCGACTCTACGTCAACATCCATGCCGGAAACGTGACCAATTATCTCGGATCTATAAATGGCATGTTTGTCGAAGTAAGATGCGTTCCGCACCAGGCATTGCATCACATGGCCTCGCGGAGACTCATCTGAAAACGCAATCCTGAGGGACCGGCAGGGTAGGGTTACCGTGTCGAGTATGGTCTTAAATACATACGAGTAGCATCCAATATCTTTCAACGTTTTGGAAGGTAATTTTGTGAAGACAGACTGCAGGAACCTTCTTTCATTCGACGACAGGATGTCCAAAACCGAAAGCAGTTTCGGCAAATTGAAACCGGAATGGCGGACCGCGTCTATCTTGTTGTATATGTGAACTAATGCACATCTTGTCTGTTTTGCAATAACTACAAGATCGGTCAGTGGCGCTAACGTAGCACGCTGGTGTCTGCGATCCTACCAGAGTGTTTGACAACAGATCCGGACCCAGCTCGCTTTGCCTGGGATAGCGATTTGTTGTAATTACGGTTCCAGAACTTCACACATCCAGTGCAGGGTGTTTGTTTTTCGCACTGATTTGATTCTTCAGCCACGTTCGGGAGGTTATGGGAGACAAGAAAGCGTACCTTTTTCCTTGCATGCTCACAACGCGTACAAGAACCACCGACAAGAGTGAGCTCCTGCATGCTCTCCTTCTCTAACTTTGTACGACATCCTCTCACGACCCGAAACCTCTCTTCGCCTTCGAAAGAAACAATGTTGACAGATGATGGTGGTATGTTCGCTCGTTTTGACACACGCTGCTCCCAGCCATGCAGCATAAGCTCTCGGTCAACGTCATTGGGGACAGTTCGTTTGCGTTTAGACGATGACTTGTTTCCCTGAGCCAATGGCTGTGGTACAGGAGCAGAGTTCGCAAATTGCCACGCCATCGGCTGGGTGAGTGAAGATGACAATGCAGAAGTTGTGTGTTGTGTAAGCAAGGGACTCCGTGGTACCGGGAAGCAAGACTCTGTATCGGGCGGTGGATTGAAGCCGATTGATTGATCCCACGAATTAGGAGTATGGTCTTGTACTGTCGACCATCCATAGTCAGCGCTAACAGCATGTGTCATGCACAAGTCGGAGTCGCCGTTGTATGTCTCTTGACGTACGAAGTCGTGATCTTTCGCATACAAAGGATTCGAATCGGGTAGGCAGCTGGGAGCGGAGGTATGACATGTTGTACCGAACGGGAACCCGCCGTAGCCATGCATGTCTACGCCAGCACTCGGGCCCGGAAGATTGCGATATACATCCTCAAACTGGCAGTCTTGGTGAACTGAGAAGATGTTGGCTTGCGGGTAGATGCTGTTATCAGTGATCATATTCGCAGAGGTCTGGGAGATTGTAGCATTAGAGCAAGTTCAATTTACGATACTCTGGGGTATCATGATACTTACAGGCTCTTGGGCTCCGTCAATTGTATGACCATGCGTCCAAGTCGAACAGTTACACTGACTCGCGTTCGGAGAGCTGAAGAGCGTGTCGCTTTCAAGCGTTTGTTCTTGAGGTACTAAGAACTGTTCCAAGGGAAATAGGTTTGTGCTCGACGAAAGCAACATGCCATTGTGCCCTTCAGGCAATTGATTGAATAAAATCGTGTTCATGTCCATCGAGAGGTATTCGTCATAAACAAAGGTCGTATGCAAGCCATCGAAGTCAGGAAGATACATATGATCATTCGAAGCCGGATCACTGTCTTCCATGTGGATGTCGCTTGTGGGCTCAGCCATATCGACAAGGTTGGCTGGCTAGGAAGAATTGATGGAAGAATGTACGAGGCTGGTGAGACACGATCCAGCTGGACGTAATGTATGAGCGAAAGAGACGGTGCAGGTGAACAGCAAAACCACAGCCTGAAGAGCGGACATGTAGATATGTTATAGGGGCGAGTGACATCGTTGACAGCAGGCCAGCGAAAAGCCGCCTACCCAAGAGCGCATGGAAAAGAAGGCAATCGCG